CTTGTTGACTATGCTAAGCAACATTAGATTCTTCGGGCTTTTCTACGCTCTCAACCCATGCTGGTTATCAACATACGTAGATAGGGTATATATATATTATTATATAATATATATATAGAGTAGGAGAGAGACGGAGAGGGATGAGAGCAGGGAGAGAGAGATATGAGGAACGGAGGTGAGGGCAGAGAGAGAGAGAGAGATAGGGGGTAGGAGGAGAGGGAAAGAGAGAGAAGAGAAGAGAACGGAAGGGCGCGGGAGAGAGGATAGAGAGATGAGAGAGAGAGAGCAGAGAGACGAGAGAGAGAGAGAGATAGAGAGAGAGAGACGAGATGAGAGATGACGAGAGATGTGAGAGAGATGAGAGAGAAGAGAGAGGGAGAGGGAGAGAAGAGAGAAGGGATAGTATGGATATATATATATAGATAGATAGATAGATAGCGTAGAATTAACTAAATAGTATCAGATAAGATAGATAGATAGTAGATAGATAAGCATAGATTAAGTATAATAGATAGATAGATAGATAGATAGATAGATAGATAGCATAGATAGATAGATAGATAGATAGATAGGATAGATAGCATAGATAAGATACATAGATAGATAGAATAGATAGATAGATGGATAGATAGATAGATAGATAGATTAGATAGATAGATAGATAGATAGATAGATAGATAGATATATAGATACTTAATAAAAACTAGCTATAGTTTAGTTAGATAGATAAATTACTTAGCTAACCTCAATGCAGACAACAATTCTACGCAATAACCTTTATAATAATGTGGCGTCCAGCAAACGCAAACGATAAACAATAATATACTAATGTTATAATAATAAAATAATAATGTTGCAGTGTATAGATTCAAGCGACAGCTTTATAAGACATTGGCGGCGCCTAGCGGTTACTAATCTCTTCCGTGTGTAAACCGATTACCTATATCTAATTAACATTTATTATCGTTATGATATTGTTATTTGTGTTGTTGTATATGGATCAGCGGTGGTGAGCCTAGCGATTAGGTTATGTGCGAGTTTTAATGCGAACATCTTACAAGGGGCGGCTTCCCTGATGTCGGCGACAACTTCATAGATACTGGCGGCCCCTAGCGGTTATTCATCTCTTCCGCGTGGATCTCTGTCACTGATTTATATATAATAACACTATTATTTTTCTTACATTATTTCTAGCGTTATTATATATAGTAGAGTATATAACGCTACTGCGCATGCATTTACACGCATTTATTACACACACGCATTTATTACACACACGCATTCCACGCATTTACACACACTATTATTTTTCTTACATTTTTTATTATTTTACTGCGCATGCATAACACGCATGCATTCATATATACTAGTTGCGAGTTGTGCGACGAGAGACGTAGAAGCGGTGGCTATATATACCTTGATGCGCGCAGTCAGCGTTTCCCCGCTCGTCGCTCCAGTCCTCGCAATGATTGATCAGGTCACAGTTCAGCTTTGCATCGATGCATTTGCCGTTGTCGCAGTGAAAGTCTCCGTAGAAGCATTTTTTCGGATCTGAAAACATATTCGAGTGAAAATACGGCGACCGATTCTTGATCGACCAATGTGGTCATCTGTTAGCATCGCGATGATGTATATATATCAAGGCCATTTTTGTCAATTTGTGTGAGATATTGTATCACCATGTAAGCTAAACATTATGCCTTCTCAAATAAATGCAAATACGACATAATACAGTAAATGGCAAAGGCATGTATTGACAACAGATATTTTTAGAAATCCGGGGTCGATAATCTACACCACCGTTATACCAATTCATTATAAACCAGGTCGATCTGTTGCTCAGAATTACAGACACCTAATACACCATGGTTTATTTACAAACAATATTCACCTGCGTAGTAAATGAAGCTCTTATATTCTAAAGTTGTCATTTATTGCGTTTCTGACCACCAAAAATAAACTTTCTGCGTGTTCATATAAAATGTACTTTTCGATTCACGTTCGAGCTTCTTATGGATCCTATTCGTCTATGTATCGCAATAAATCATACAGCGTGGGCAATATACTTTGCATGGGACCCTTGCTGATACAGCGTTATAGTTTATATAACTATCTAAACAACCACGGACAATTGACAATAGGCCTATATTAAAACAATTTCAGACGTATATCGTGTATGTATAACCATATCGGACAAAAGATGCCTATTTCTCTAACAATACTGAAAAGTTGAAACTACGACAGCATTCTCTATGATTTTGTTTGTGGATGTTACGTTATTTTGTCTTCTTCTACTTTTCTTGTTGACGTTCTTTGTAAAAGCAGTAGTTAAAGCGAAGCATGCCCTCTGCTGAGAAAATATTTGGTGTGGCCCCCGCCAAGATGAGTTATTAACTACAGAACTCCATTTACATGCTTAGAATACATGAGCGAGCGCCATTTTAGTGCTATTATCACAAGCCGTTCTAAACTACCCTTACAGATTGTGCAAAAATTCCCAAATTTGACACTCCATAGCAAACACCAAACAAAACACACCACACACACAGACACAGCAACGACAGATGCTCCGTCGGCCCAGTGCACCCCATCAAGAGCAAGGCGACGAAGAACACACACACACACAACCATGCCTTCAGCGCTAATCGGCGAACAGTGAGAGTACGACTAGCCCTACCCCCACCCCCCCCCCGGCCATCAAGCAAAAAAGCTCCAAAACGACACATAGTTGTCTCTCCCCACACACCCAAGCAACCCCCCCCACACACACACCCCAGACACCCCCACACACAGCATACCTTACGTCTCACACCACACACACACTAACCGACGCGTCCGCCCGGGCCGCACGGACACACAGCACAACAGGCACCGCGCGCGCACACGCACGCACTGCACGACAACGCGCACCCACCACACACAACAGCGAGCGGAGGCTGTCTCACTAGCACAATAGACAATATCGCGTCAACTGTTTCCTACGATGCGGACTCGATAGACGAGGTCTGGCCGACTCCGGAGACCAGCGGGCGCAGCGAAGCGCGAGAGAGGGAGGGAGTAGGCAGCAGGCAGGCGAGGCAGAGGGGTGGGGGGGCCGAAAGCCGGCTTTCCTTTCCCTCGTTAGTCCACGATCACACAGCAGCCAATCAGCATCCAACACACAACCACAGCACGAGCCGTCAGCCAGGCCGCTTGAAGAGCGCGTCGACGGCAAACACATGCAATCCCATTATCTCCGCCCAACAACGACCAACATTCGCCACACATCCCTGCATAGCAGTAAGCGACCCAAAGCCACTGGTTGTGAGCTGCGGTATGTCCAAGCCGAGCACACCAATAGCCCGAGTTCAAGAAGTACCGAGTAGGCGAACCACGACGTCACCATAAGCAGCACAACTAACAACGACGAGAACACAGATAAGATAGAAATGTATGGTTATTGAACGTAAACCACAAACACGTCGTAAGTAAAATACCACCACGTATATACACAGCAAACACACAGAATTGTCACAACATTGTACAAGCAAACAAATATACTCATACATAGTAAACACACTAGCATATGTTCAATAATAATAACCAGCTCACATAACATACCAATACGACTATGTTTGTTTATATGTATAAGCCACGAATGAGATGGAAAATTTTAAACCTCTGTCAGCCGAACTCAGTATAGATCATCAGGGGCGGCAACTAAGGGCAAGGACGGCGTCATGTCGCAGTGCCGCTGCTTCTCCTCCACAAGCCAACTCGCTCTCCAACGCAAACGCTCCCGCGTTAACGTAACGCTGTGTGTGGTGTGCGTGTGCTGTGGCTGGTCCGTGTCCTGCTATTGTGATGTCGCCGCATGCACACTCACACGCGGCCCAAGTGCACAGTCGTGCCGCCTCCTCTCGACAATGCACATGGGCACCCGCTCGCGATGCCGCAACAACACACATGCACAGGCGAGTGAGAGTAACCATCATCAGCTACTTGCAACAACCGGACAATCATATGTACCGTAGGGCCGGACAACTTATCGGCGCACCGGCCATTTTCCCACTTACTTGTCCGCCCTGCGTCTTTGCGTGCAGCAGTGCACCGATGACGCACTGGGTGTTCGTGATAAATTAACACTAACACCGCACCACACTAGTAAAAAAAGACTCAAACAAGATGGACAACACACCACGCGCCGGCGCATCAATTAATAAGCTCCACGTTGAACGCACAGACAATGCACACTCCTAAATAAAATCCCATTTTTCAACTAACGCAGCGCCGCATCACTCATAGCGAACAACGACGCATGACAGATCGCCGCTGGGCCCGCGAACACAGGCCGCTGCCAGGGGGCGCTCACCCCCATCCACCAGGATACCCGCCGAATACCACCTTGGCCACCGAGTGACCTGCGAGGAATCACCTGCCCCCCACATTCCGCGTGCGCGCTTGTCGTTCGCCCCCGCTCACGTCTTCCGGAGGCGCGTCCGGTTATCGCGCCATAGAGCTTTGGACATTTTGCGAAGACCTGCGTGCTTCGTCGGCTGACTGGGGTCCACTGGCCAAGCGGTAGTGTTGTCGGCCTTCATGCGCGGGCGTGGCCCGACGGCGGGTGGTGGGAAGACGAAGAGACAGACGCGAGAATTCGGTGAGTCAGGAAGTTTTTATTTGGCGCGGACACAAAATAAATATGTGGGGGGAAGAAGCAGGCGAGAACAAAGAGAGATGGCGCGAGAGAAGCGAGCGAGAAAAGAGAGAGAGAGAACCGCGGAGAGAGAGATTCGGGACGCAAAGCCACCCAGGCGAGCGAGAACGAGGAGCCATACAAAAGAGACGAGAGAGCGAGGACGAGAAGAGCACAGGACAAAGCCACCACCAAAACCGCTATAGCAACGCTAAGCGATCCCTGTCCAGAACGCACGCACGCACACAGAGTGCGCCACTTGAAACACATATATATAACTCACAAAATTAATAGACCACATAGATCGGGTCTAGCATCCCGAACGACTATTTAAATTCAATTTCCGGTCACAGACAAAACCAAACAATCTCTCACCAGGCAATTATCGGGCCGCCATCTTTTCTTGCCTGCCCACCGCAAACTTCCACGACGTCCAACCGAAGAAGCAGCTTGCTTTGCCGTTCTATTTTCTCGAAAAGGAATCAGGGCCCGGAATAATCATTTGAACCCATCCCTCAAACACGTGTCAAACATATCAATAAATATTAATAATTAAATATAATAATTAATCATTAACGAGATGCCGGAGTGCGAAGCAGGGCTCTTAATCTGGCTGTCTGTGTTCTGCTGATAAATGCATTCTGTGCTAGGCAAGCAGCGTCTTATACTCATTAAGTCTTCTATTATTCTTCGTTGTTGACTTCGAGCCCCGTTCGAACCCAAATATATTCAGCTAACAATTTCTTTACCGCACGGCACTAAAATCTCATGGACTTAATTCTAATAACAGAGCAACAATTAATATACAATTGGCAATCTAACAAGAATGAATGATGCATGTGGACGTTGACCATAAAAGATTTCACCATATGAGCAGGATCCATCCAAGTTTAATGTACCCCCGAGGGGCGGGGGGTCCATTTCCTCTCCCACCTCCTCCCACGCGTCCACCCCTCCCTCACCCCCTCCTCTGCCTCTTACTCCACGACTCCGTCGCCACTGTCGCCGTCCCACTTCACTCCGGGCATTGCCCTCTGGCCACTGTCGCACCGAACCTCGATCACGCGCCCGATTCTCCTCCACCTGGCTCTGTCGACCGATCCCTCGGCGCCCCTGCCTCGCGCGCGGCCGGCGGGCGCTTCGGCCCATCCCGAGGGCCGTAGCCCCCGGATTGCACAGTCGCGCCCATCGGGCCACACCGAAGAAGAAGGAGGAAGAGAAGAGCAAAAAGAGAGCGAAAAGAGAGAGAAAGAGAGAGGAAAGGAGAGCAGAAGGAAAGAGAAGAGAGAGAGCGAGAGAGAGAGAACAAGAGAGAGAAAGAGAAAGCAAGAGAGAGAGAGGTAGACGCAGACCCACGAGACACTAATCATCTACCGGAGGTACGCCACCATCACACACCCAACACGCAGCACCACACACAACACATACATCCACAACATCCGTTTCCAGCCTGACGCCACACACCACATCACAGCAAAGATTACACACCAGGTCCTCCATACACACTACACATACCATACACACCCAGTATCGGTGAGCCGAGTGTCGCTGTCCACCGTCCTCAATCACACTAAAACATCATACGCATTCCACATACATTACACACCTCCCTTTATGCGGTAAATAGACTGGTCCTCTCTCTCTCCTTAATTATATAAAATTAAAAAATAAAACCAGCAACAGATGTCCTTTACTGCCCCCAGCCCTCAATAATACTACTCCGTTCCTATGCCCCTGAGTGACAGCCATAGAAATCAATACAATCATCAAATAAAAACAAAGACCAAGTGGTCTATCAAGACGGGTATCCCCCATATGGTAACCAGGCTCTCATCACATCCTAGCACTAAACTGCCCCCGAGTCAAAAATTGGATA